CTAGGTGTACCGAGTTTGGGCTTGTTTTATTAGGTATGACGAGCCCTTACCTCCGGACTTGACGGACTGACCTGAAGGTGTACTTTGGTAATCGGCATTGGAACAGGTCGCCGAGTACTACTAGGTGTGCCGAGTTTGGGCTTGTTTTATTAGGTATGACGAGCCCTTACCTCCGGACTTGACGGACTGACCTGAAGGTGTACTTTGGTAATCGGCATTGGAACAGGTCGCCGAGTACTACTAGGTGTGCCGAGTTTGGGCTTGTTTTATTAGGTATGACGAGCCCTTACCTCCGGACTTGACGGACTGACCTGAAGGTGTACTTTGGTAATCGGCATTGGAACAGGTCGCCGAGTACTACTAGGTGTGCCGAGTTTGGGCTTGTTTTATTAGGTATGACGAGCCCTTACCTCCGGACTTGACGGACTAACCTGAAGGTGTACTTTGGTAATCGGCATTGGAACAGGTCGCCGAGTACTACTAGGTGTGCCGAGTTTGAGCTCGTTTTATTAGGTATGACGAGCCCTTACCTCCGGACTTCAAGGAGTGACCTGAAGGTGTACTTTGGTAATCGGTATTGGAACAGGTCGCCGAGTACTACTAGGTGTGCCGAGTTTGGGCTCGTTTTGTTAGGTATGATGAGTCCTTACCTACGGACTTGACGTAGTGACCTGAAGGTATACTTTGGTAATCGCTAATTGGAACTGGTCCCCGAGTACTACTGGATGTGCCTAGTTTGGGCTCGTTTTATTAGGTATGACGAGCCCTTACCTCCAGACTTGACGGAGTGACCTGAAGGTGTACTTTGGTAATCGGTACTGGAACTGGTTGCTGAGTACTACTAGGTGTGCCGAGTTGGGGCTCTTTTTATTTTTATTTTATTTTATTCTTATTGGAAAACTTACAGCTAACATTAACAGTAAATAAGTGAATAACAACTAGAAGGCCATTTAAAAGTTTTCACCACTAGACAATATGAGCTTAAAAATAATAATTCCAGTCGGTAAAAGATAAACATCGATTAAGACAAATACAGTAAATTAACTAAATTACACAGAAAACATTCAACAAAAGAATTTTTTCGCTAAAATATTTTGATTCGAGAAACATTGGTACTAAACAGATCCAAGTCAACGCTATTGGAAATGTCATTAGAAGTTCTGCATGCACGTATTATAAAAAGAATTTTGCCTGTATTTATTCCGGGTATGCGGCACGTGGAGTAAGCGAGGCTTTCTTAATAGGCTAGCTCTTGTTGTAAAGCCTAATTACTCAGTAGCTCCGGACAGTCAATATGACCATTTGCCAATTTAAAAAGATAAATCATATCTGCTATGCGCCTACGTTCGTGCAGAGGTAAAAATGAAATTTTTTACATCGCGAAATGTAGTTATTAGTGTAAAATTGCGTCTTAAATTGTAGAAAACGTAGAAAACGTTTTTGTACTTGCTCAATCCTATCTATATAAATGTTTTAATTTGGATTCCACACTTGAGAGGCGTACTCTAAATGGCTGCGAACAAGAGCGCAATAAAGTATCTTATATGTTTTAATATTATAAAAATCAGTGGAAAATCTCAAAACGAATCCAAGTGCTCTATTGGCTTTTTTAATGATATTGTCAATATGTGCATCAAAAAGTAATTTAGAATCGAAAAATACACCAAGATCCTTTACTGACTGTAATCTCTCTATAGTAGTGTCTTGTAATTTGTAGTGAAAGACAGTGGGATTGGGTTTACGGGTAAAAGTAATGATGAAACACTTGGACACATTCAAGTCAAGTTTATTGCGTGAACAATATCGTTCAAGTTCATTGAGATCACGCTGCAGACCAAGGCAGTCAGAAGTATTTGTAATGGGACATAAAATTTTCATGTCATCAGCATAAAGGATTATTTTGGAGTAAGTGAAGCAGGAACCTATATCATTTATGAAAATCGCAAATAGCAAAGGACCTAATAGAGATCCCTGCGGTATACCTGAAGGGATTTGCACAGTTGCTGACGTATACCCATTGAGTACTACTGTCTGACAACGATTCTCAATATAAGATTTAAACCACCTAAACAGGTCGCCGCTGATACCTACCTCGAGTAGTTTTCTGAGAAGTATAACGTGATCTAAACGGTCAAACGCTTTACTGTAATCAGTGTAGACTACGTCAACTTGTAAGCGCTCAGACATGATGTTAGTTAAATAGTCAGAACAGACAATAAGGTTCGAAACCGTGGATCTACCTTTTAAAAAGCCGTGTTGATAATCACTGAGTGTTTGTTTGATGCCATGATATACAGACGAGTATACGATTTTCTCAAAGATTTTGTTGAATAAACAAAGCTTGGATATTGGCCTATAGTTTTCTACACGGTCTTTTGGACCATTTTTATGGATGGGGGTAATAAATGCAGATTTCCAAATAAGAGGTACTATTCCTTCCTTGAGAGAACGTCTGTATATTATTGTTAACGGTATAGTCAAGCTTTTAGCACACTTACTTATAAGAATGGGTGGTATACCATCTGGGCCTGCAGATTTATTAAGGTCAATCGAGTTTAAAAGCTTAAAGACTTCAGTTTCGCTAACTTGTATCGAGTTTATACCCGACACAGTATGTGATCGCCAATTATCGGGCTCATATCGGGTGTTATAGTTATTGCGAACTTTGTGAAAATTACCATAGAAAAAATCGCTAAACATATTACAAATAGTATCCCCTTGGCCTGATGATATGTGTCCATACTTCATTATAGATGGACAAGCGTTTGACGCTTTTTTATATTTCACGAAAGACCAGAAGGTCCTTGGCGATTTATTTATGCTGAGTTCTATCTTTGCTATATAATTGTTGAACATTTCGGATTCTAATTGTTTGGCGCGATTACGTAATACTAAAAAAGACTCATGATCTGACAAATTGCCATATTTTTTATATTTGGTATGATATTTAAACTTTTCCTTTAAAATTTTTATAAGAGGGGTTTTATACCAAGGGGGATATTTAGAAGAAGATTTTACTACTTTTGTTGGTATGTAAGTGCCGCACAAGTTGTTTAGTCGAGTATATAATAGTGACAATGCATCGTCCACTGTGCCCTTAAAAAAGATCGTGAGACCATGTAAAATTATCAAGCTCTCGTGATATAGAGGAGAAATCAGCTAAATGGTACATAAACTTAGTCCTTGGCTGGACTGGTAAAGTGTGGTACTCGACAAAATCCGTTAGAACATTAAGAGCCACATGATGAGGGTCTTCAGGCACTAAAGGGTCGGTACATTTTGTTGCGGATAAGTGATTATTACAAAAAATTAAGTCGAGTATTCTGTTGTTAACATTGGTATGAGAGTTATATTGCTGCAGATTACACGTATTTAAGGTGTCAAAAAAGTCGGACTGAATGGACCCCTCAATATTTTCTGGACAAAGAGAGTACAAGTCATCGTCAAGAGTCCAAGTTATATTTGGTAGATTAAAATCTCCCAAAATAACGAAAGCATCAGTTAGATTGGTCGTTACTATGTCGTATAACTTTGTATAAAAACAAGCTAACTGTGCAGATAATGAGTTACCCAGATTTTGTCTGCATAAGTAAATCGTACAAATATGCAGTTTAAATGTCATTTTCGGTTTGGAACGCCGAAGAGTTAACGATACCCATATGTCTTCGGCAGAAGAACGCCAGTCGACCCGCTCCTCCACTGCAAGCTCACGCTTAACAGCAATAAGCACACCACCTCCCAACGTTTGATTTGTAACATTATAGTTTCTATCACGTCTCCATACAACATAACGGTCAACAAAGAGCTCGTTATTACAAAAGTCATCGTTAAGCCACGTCTCCGTCAAGCATATAACATCATAATTGTTAATACATACATTTCTCAGAAAATTTGATGCCTTTGTTCGCAGACCACGTACATTTTGATAGTATATTTCAACAGCCATCATTAAAATCATACAAAAACACAGAAATAGCGCTGAAAATGACATACCATAACATAAAAAGAAGTGCGAATACGCACCTAAAGTGTGGTGGTAAATAAATAATATTAATAAAAAATATATGGATGTGTTTAACTACAGCAAATAACAGCGCCAATTTGTTCATATTGTAGCAATCGCTAAAGAAATAAGACGCAAAATGTGTAGTATAAATATCAACGAAGAAGTATTGATCATTTATACAACAATAAAATACCGCAAGAAATAATTTAATATTTGTCAAACTAAACGCTATCTTAACTAATATCACATATGGTTTAAGGTACAAATAAAAAATGCACTGAGCAGCTATTAAACCGAGCGACAACAGAACAACAACGTGTACCGTCAGTGATAAGATAAATAAATAGAATAGACTTAACGTACCAGTGTTTCTCAAACTTGTTTCACAAATTGATATAGAAATGAACAAATTTATATTCAGAAAATCTTCTTTAAATCTGCTTCCGTTTTTATTGCATATGTAGGAGATGTCGCATTCTTTTTTCATTAGAATTGTACAGTTTTTGTACCCATGTATAAGAAAAACTTTTCTCCCTTGCAAGAGCTTTTGTCTTATTAAGTAGCTGTTTATTCTCAAACGTAAGGTGGTCATTAACGAAAATCCTGCTATCACTTCTCAATCCTAAATCCGCAGCAGTTAAAGTTTTACATTTTTTTAGCAGCAGCTATAAAATTATCTCTCAGGTAACGGGTGTGAAGTGACACAATGATGTTTTTGGTGTTTTTATTATTACGCTGAGGTACTCTTGCTACGTAGTTGATTTGCTCCTTAGGAACTTCGTAACCTATTTTACTACCAATATTGGAAATAATAGTAAAAAGATTTTCAGAGGAGGTTACAGGAACGTCTTTGATCTCAATGTTGTTCAGGCGCGATCTTTGCTGATTTTCACGTACAACGGCCTCAAGCTTCTCCAATCGATGTTCAACACGTACAACATCATCCTTCGTTTTTTGAAGAGACTGAATTTCCCGATCGATCTCGGTCAATTTGTTAGTAAGTCGAAGTATGCACATGGTTCAAGGAGTTTTTAACGTCCAACATTTCACTCTTCATATCCTTAAGATCTGAGATGTCAGCCTGGATAGTCTTGACACTTGCAATTAACTGTGGTAATGACGATATTTGTTTGGTAATCTTACTAAGCTCAAGACGAATATTCTCCAGATCACCATAAGATGGTACCCTTCCTTGTACTGTTTTCTCGGAAGAAAGATTAGGACTCGCAGTTCCTGTCTTACAGGTATTGCATTTCCAAGTAGCCTTTCTGTCCCCAAGTTTGCGATATCCTGCCTCTGTTATTCCTGCACATGGGAAATCGAAACGGTTGAGGCACATCGTACACTGCACACCATCCCTGGCTTCACTATTACACCGGTAACACATAAACATGTTGGATAAGATAAAGTTTGAGAAACTCCGACTACAAAAACAATAGCGATCGACTGGCAACAGCGCAATACATACGTTTGTTTCGTTTACCGTCTACCGACTGACTGTTTTTGTTAGGTATGATGAATCCTTACCTCTGGACTTGACGGAATGACCTGAAGGCGTACTTTGGTAATCGCTATTGGAACTGGTTGCCGTGTACTACTAGGTGTTCCAATAGCGATTACCAAAATACACCTTCAGGTCACTCCTTGAAGTCCATAGGTAAGGACTCATCATACCTAACAAAACGAGCCCAAACACGGCACACCTAGTAGTACACGGCAACCAGTTCCAATAGCGATTACCAAAGTACGCCTTCAGGTAACTCCGTCAAGTCCAGAGGTAAAGACTCATCATACCTAAAAAAGAGCCCCAACTCGGCACACCTAGTAGTACTCAGCAACCAGTTCCAGTACCGATTACCAAAGTACATCTTCAGGTCACTACGTCAAGTCCGGAGGTAAGGACTCATCATAACCTAACAAAAGGAGCCCAACCTCGGCACACCTATTAGTACTCGGTGACCTGTTCCAATACCGATTACCAAAGTACACCTTCAGGTCACTCCGTCAAGTCCGGTGTTAAGGACTCATCATACCTAACAAAACGAGCCCAAGCACGGCACACCTAGTACTACTTGGCGACCAGTTCCAATAGCGGTTACCAAAGTACACCTTCAGGTCACTTCGTCAAGTCCGGAGGGAAGGGCTCGTCATACCTAACAAAACGAACCCAAACTCGGTACACCTAGTAGTACTCGGGGACCGGTTCCAATAGCGATTACCAAAGTACACCTTCGGGTGACTCGTCAAGTCCGGAGGTAAGGACTCATCATACCTAACAAAACGAGCAAAAACTCGGCGCACCTAGTAGTACTCGGCGACCAGTTCCAATAACGATTACCAAAGTACACCTTCCAGGTCACTCCGTCGAGTCTGGAGGTAAGTACTCATCATACCTAACAAAACGAGCCCAAACTCGGCACACCTAGTTCTACTAGTCCAAGTGTTCCAGTATTAGTTACTGAAGTTCACTTTCAGGTCACTCCATCACGTCCGGAGGTAAGGTCTTATCATAACTGACAAAACCAGCCCAAAGTCCACAGCTAACTTCTCAGTGCCAGCAGATGCAAAGCAGTCTCTAGAGTAGGTATTCGTATTTCGTAACTAAGTCTAATTACTCTATGTATCTAAGTATATTTTTGAGGTGTAAGAAATCAAAAACAAATTCTATCTTTCAAATTATCAAAATAATTTTATTTGACTACGATTCCCGCAGCCAACCGTGCTTACACTTGTTTGCGTGACTCTGTCAATGTAATAGTTCGATTCTATACCTATATCAATTTTGTAAAGGCGTCCTTAGAATATCTTAACGTAAATACTGCGGCAAAAAAGAGCGACACGTCTTACAGCACCAAGCCTCGGCCGGCAGTGACTGCAGAGGTGCAGAGTGCACAGGCGTTTACTCAAACATCCGTACGTATTATTTCAGAAATAAGAATATGCGATTTAAAAAAAAACTATTAGTTGGACTAAAAAAATTAAAACACTATAACGTTTAATATGTTGAATGTATAAAAATCTGACAAAAAATCAGAATGATTGCATGTGTACTAGTATGGTTTTTACTAGTTAAAAGAAATATTTAGAGGTATGTTTGTGATTTTTTCTATCGTATTAAATTAGTGGGTATCATGTTTTCAATACACTATTTAACTAGCATATATCCTGGACAATATCATATATTTTTCTGGGTTTGTTTACTGCAGTGGATCATATACTTTGAGGCATTATAAAACTTGCGTTTAGGGTCATGCCTCGTCTTAATAAAAATTTTGAATGTTTTGATAGATAAGCTCGCATTTTTTGACATTTTAAGGTACATACCCCTCGAAGGAATTACTTACTCTTTGGAGTCGAGTAGCTAGTGCTACTAGCTTGCGTTTGTTCCTCATACTTATAAAAAAAGTTAAAGTTACAGCCTATATTCGTTCCACTGCTGGACACAGGCCTCCTCTCATTTCTGAGAGGGTTTTAGGGCAAGGAAGTGTACGCCGCGCTGCCCCAATGCGTGTTGGCAAACTTCACATATCTTCGAATTTTTTTTCTTATTTCTCACACATGTAGGTTTCCTCGCGATGTTTTCCTTTACCACCGAGCACGTGGTAAATCAGCACTTAAAATTGCAACTAAGAATTTCATTGGTGCCGACGGGGGTCGAACTCGGTTTGCTCGCGTACTGTGAAATTTCCAGTGAGTGCTAACCATTGAACCAACTATTATTATATATACTATTATTTTCGTAATTATACAGAAAGATCTGAGTTAATATATTTATTTCTTAAATTTTTGTCTTAGAGACGTACAGTCATGACATGACATGTAGCTGGTATTCTTAGAAAGGCGTATGCCAAACTGTGACTTGAGAAGCTGTCGATGTGATGAGAAAAACTGATCAATAGTGGATATTTGATGAGCTTCACGGAAGTTTCACGGAATGCCAGCGTAAAATAGCAGCGGGTGACAACGCATCTGCATTTTGATTCTTAATCGAAGAATGATGTAGGAATTATGGGCAAAAATATTCACTTACCATGAGGTGGACCGTGTGCTCGTTTGTCACCCTTATTCTATAAAAAACATAGTTTATAAACAAGAAAACTAGACATAAACAGCTGTAAAAGGGTACAATAATCATTAATTAAACCAATCATGCCAAAAATGCAGAATAACCGTATTTAAGCCTGACTGCGCATTGCTCGCTCCGCGTTTTTCCCGTCGCGCGATACCAAATGACAAATAATAAGCCACAAGACAGTTAACAATGTACGAATGCTCGATTTCTCCACTCGCCTGTCTCACTGGCCTCCTAAAAATGCACTAAAAGGCTCCACATGAGAAGGCGCATGAAAAACGAAATGCTTCTTGCCATAAACGAAAAACTTCTCGAAAAATCTTACAGACCGTTATAGCGCATCATAACTCCGTGCTGCGACAGAGAGCGCGAAAGTTCTAGAGAAAGCTTGTTTTTTTTTTCAAAATAGGATATTTTTACACACTTAATAAAAGTTTGATTCGTACCTATGTATATATGTACGAATGTAATGGAATTTTATTTCACCTTTTATCTAAAGGGACTGAAATTTTGCAGAGGTCTACAATGATTTCGTGATGTGACCTAGTATTATTCTCACAAAGATCATGCTTACATCACAGCTCATAATTAACGCGTAGCTCATAATAAATAACGCGTGAGTTTATATTATATATAATGTTTTCATGTTTTCAAACTCTTATGATTATAGTATATGAAATAAACAGATAAAGGTGATTTTATCGTATTATAAAAGAGGTTATCAATTCAAGGTGTAGGGTGTAATGTACGTAACACGATATTTCCCAGGTTAGTAAACCAATTTAAGATTACACATACTTCCACAGTGCTCCTGTAAATATTTATATTCAATCATACTACAATGTCAGAATTTATGTGATTCTTAAATATGTTTATATTGTAGGACATAATAAATATATGCGTCAGTTTAAAGTTTCTTACCCTACCCCTTAATCTTTGTCTTATTTTCATTTAATTCTTCTTCTGGGTGATCTGTACTCGTAAGAGATTGCAATGAAGCAATAAGACCGCGTTTTTGTTTTCTTTAATATTTGTTTTTATTTTTTGTTATTTTCATCTTTCATTAGTATACAATAAAGAGTATTGTATTGCACTGTATTGTAAGTAATAAGCCTAACTGGCTTAGGATGCGGACTGCAAACTATGAAAGTAGGAAAGTCGTGGGTTCCAATTCGCTATTCAACTAACTCTCATGAATCCAAAACATAAGCATTTTAGCTTACTCAGTATGGTCAAAGTGAGTATTAGTAATGTTGATAGCGTTATTAGTATCCTTTTAATGATAAAAAAATTACTCTAATGCAAACTACAGACTACTTGAAAAATTTGTGTTTCACGTCATCAGTCCCGCCTCGGTGATTGCCTCTATTAGTTGACTCAGTAGTAATTACAGCAATTATAGTCAAGTAGTCGGCATGTGATGGCGGTGTAGGAGTATTATCATTCCATATCGACCCGTTGGTTTCGTAAAAGTCGAGTATGGGAAACGATAGAAAGATCTAATGGCTACCCAGAGAGACCGGTATATCCGTCTCGGATATACCTGATGTAAAATACTCAGACCGGTGACAAGAGCAGCGTCACAAGTGGTAAACATGTGAGAGGTTAGCCAAGTTCATTTATTATAGTCGTTAATGCTAATATAAAATAATAAAATAGACTGAAATCAACGGTCACATCTCGTGACTTAACTTTGAGATCACAGATAGAGATTTATTTACTGCTTCGTTGGTCTAGTGGTTGTAGTAGTGCGACTGCTGATCAAGAGGTCCTGGGTTCGAATCCCGGGTCGGGCAAAAAAATTAATTATTGAGTTTTTCCGTCAAGAAATTCTCAGTAGTTGCCCGGAGTCAGGAAGTTGGCGGTGTCTCACCCCCGTGCCTCGAAAAGCACATAAATCCGTTGGTCCTGCGCCTGATGCTCCGGTGGGCTATGCTCCGGTCGTGTCGGTTTACCGTCCCATCGGATTATGAGAATGAGGGAAGAGATAGTGTTTCTGTGCTTGCGCATAAACTAGGGCACTATAATACTGTCCTGCGCCGATGGCTAGCCTCCGGTGAGGCAGGCCGCCGTGGCTGAAATTCGGTCTGGAGGGCATTATTATTATGAAATTTATTTATATGTTTGAAATATATATCATTCCAGTTTATTTTTTAAGCTTTCTGTTAGTGTCAAAGATTGTATAAGATCCTTTTGTGTAAACCCTCTGATAAGCAATCGACAACCCGCTTGCCAAGCGCACATCCTCCGCACTGTGGTAGAGAGCTATATCCAACAGTGAACTATTAGGGGCTAATAAAAAAGAAAGAAGAAGTAATGTC